AAGGAATATTAAGTTTTTCATTCCGATTATAAACCTCGAAATATATATTTTAGACCCCACAAAAAATATATATTCTTGATCAGCAAAAGTCAATCTATAGAAACCACTTTTACTTTTAAAGGAAATAAGTTGATAAAATTTCACTCAGTTGTATCTTGGCTCTGCAGAATTTTTGGTATAGAAAATGAAACGCAGAAATATGCAGTTTTATGTTCCTAGTATGTAAGAAATTTCTTTACACAGAACTGCAAGCTTTCGCGTAGACTCAATATCACTATACATCCTGATATTCGGTATTTTCACGATTTGTGTCACACTTTTCACCGGAATGGTTTCAAATTCAATCATATTTTTCATAAAATATTTTTAGTCTTGTTGGGCCAAGAAAAAATCTCTATACATTTTTTGGACTCGCAAAAATGTTATGAAAGCCCACACATTTTTTTTAAACAATTTAGAAACGCCAATGACAATGATTTGCATACCCTTCACCACATAGTGGCAAGGGTATTATGCGTTGTGCATTTGTCTGTAAATGAAGAAGGAAGAGAGATAGACCCATAGTTACTTTTGAGGATCTTCAAAGAATCACTTTCTGAGTCGATCAGTCCGTCTGTCCATGTATTCTGTGAACAAAATGCAAAATTGGTGAGAATCGGTTCAAATTTAGATACAGCTCCTATATATATATATTTTCAACCGATTTCGGGTTAATTGTGGTCAATATCAGTCCAATTGTCCTGCACAACCGACAAAATTTAGTCTAGAAGCAAGGATATCAAATTTGGCAAAAATCGGTTCAGATATAGCTATACTTCCAGATACCAGATATCATATACAGTTCAGAAATTGATGTTTCGAATTTTGTCAAGATCGGTTCAGATTTGTATATAGCTTCAAATTTGTATATGGTTCAAATTTAAACTCAGATGGAGGAAACCTTTATATAGGAGCTACATCTTTTCCCTATTCTGAGTCGAAAAAAAGAAAAGGAGTTATTGGATATAGCCTATGTTCTAGTTGGGTTCACATTTTATTTCCTTTAATTGTCGTGTAAATGCTAGATGAAGAGACTGATCTCAATGTCAATATGGAATTTTTATTCCGTTCACGTTCGTCACAATAAAAAATATTCTTTAGATTAAATAAAATGAAGTAAATTTTTAGAACATGACATTCTTGACATACCAATTAATTCTTCTAAAATTTTTGTCAACACTCAATGTTTTTTCCTTGATAAACGAAAAATATATTTTCTGTTATATATTTCGCATGAATCATTAAAAAAATTATACAATTTTTGTACCCTGCACATGACCCTACATATCAATAGGTTATCGTTCACAAAAAATAACATCCAATTTGAAATATATTTTTCGGATTGCGACAATGACGTCCCTACATTATATTTGTTTAAAAGTTTATTCATTAAAAGAAAATACTACAAAAATCCCCAAATCTTGTTCCCAGAATTTTCATTTATCTCAAGAAAAACAATTGTGTATTAATGATGTCAACGCAATTAAAAAAAAAAATACAGGAAACAATTGTTATTGTCAAAATATTTAAAAGAAAGTCTTATTTTTTAGTATATCTCATGAAATGTACTGTAAATTAGAGATTTGTGCAAATTCTGAAACCAGAAATCACCTCAGCAAATATTGTTATGGTAATGTGGGTAACATTCATTCCGAAATCAGATAACTGAACAGCGGGTATTCCTCTAACTTTGTGTAGACGAAATATGCTATGCTTAAACGCATAGTTTGTGCGAAGGAGTGTCCAACCGAACAAAAAAAACGATTTTCAAGGAAAATTCCCACAAAAAAATAATACATTTTAACAACCGGGCACCGCTGGGCCCCATCCTGAGTACTTCGGTGCATCTAGGACATAATTTTGTCAGCCAGTCTCGATTTCTATTTATTGGCTATGTTCATAACAGTTACATGTACATACGTCATAAGCAGTGTCGGTTCACATATTTGTAATAAAATTGTGTACGCCCGGCTTGGGAAATTTTGCTGACGTCAAAATGTCTTAAAGCAAAAGACAAAGACATCTTTGTCGTTTTAGGATACACTAGTTAATGGTCGCACTTAAACGATTATAGAAATCACTCAAGAGATCATGGAGAGGAATAGAGAGATACGCTTTTTGCTGAGTGAGAAATTGTTATTCGCCCTACAATGAGAAGACAGGTATATTTAACTTGTAATTTAGTTATATGTATCAAATGATGATCCTCAATTCCGCTCTATTAGTCTCCTGTGAGAAGGGAAATAGCTTGTAGGCCCTCGGAAGACGTAGCAAAGTTTCTATAAATTTTTGGTTTTCGAAACCTTACGAACAAAAATATGTATACATATGGGAAGCCTTAAGAAATTGTTATTAATAACATTTAACAAATACCAAAGCTCTACCAAACAAGTTACAAGTAAAAAAGCAGTAAATTCGGTCGGGCCGAACTTTGAGAACGAATTAGAAAATTTAAAAAGATAAATAAAATCCATTGAAAATTCTGTTAAAATCTTTAAAATACCTAATATCGGAAGGAGGCGATATATGGGGGGATATACAATATTGTGGATCTATATAGACAAATCTATGTCTGGGGGTGAAGTACTCACAAGGAACTCCATGTGTGGATTTTCAGATAATTCCATTGGCTAAATCATTGGCATGTGGCTAAAATCATCAAAATCCCGAATATCGGGGGTACCGTTATATTGATGGGTATACGATATTTTGGACATATATAGACAAATCCCTTTCAGGGGTTAAAGTGCTCACAAAGAACTCCTTGTGTGGATTTTTAGACAATACCATTGAAAAATATAGCAAAAATCGTCAAAATACTGAATATCAGGGGTTACCTTTACGATACCGTTAACCTATATAGATAACTCTCTGTCAGGGGGTTAAGTGTTCACAAAGAACTCCTCGTGTGGAATTTCAGACAATTCCATTGAAAAATGTGGCTGAAATCATCAAAATACGGAATATCGGAGGGTACCGTTATATGGGGGACATACGATATCGTGGACCTATATAGACAATTCTCTTTTAGGGGATAAAGTATTAACAAGGAACTCCTTGTGTGGATTGTCAGACCATTCCATTGGAAAATGTGGCTGAAATAATCAAAATACCGAATATCGGGGGGATGGGGGTACCGTTATATGGGGGCTATGCGATATCGTTAACCTATATAGAGAATTATTTTCAGGGGGTGAAATACTCATAAGGGACTCCTTGTGTGGAATTCCAGACAATTCAATTGAAAAATGTGGCTAAAATCATCAAAATACCGAAAATCGGGCGTACCGTTATATGGGGGCTATTCGATGTCGTGGACCTATATAAATAATTCTCTTTCAAGGGATAAAGTATTCACAAGCAACTCCTTGTGTGGATTTTCAGACCATTCCATTAGAAAATGTGGCTAAAATAATCAAAATACCGAATATCGGGGCGTACCGTTATATGGAGGCTATACGATATCGTGGACCAATGTAGCCCATCTTCAAACTTGACCTGCCTGCAAACAAAATAGAGATCTGTGCAAATTTTTAGGTTCCTATCTTTATTCGTTTAGACTTTAGCGTGATTACAATAGACGGACAGACGGACGGACGGAGCTAAATCGTCTTAGAATTTTACGCTGATCAAGAATATAAATACTTTGTTGGGTCTAAAACGATTATTTCGATGTGTTACAAACGGAATGACGAACTTAATATACTCTCCATACTATGTATGGTGGAGGGTATAAAAAAGCTGTAAGTTGGGCCGGTCTGAACTATTAAAAACCTCCACCATTTGGCAATTTTAAAAAAAAATAAATCCGTTAAAAACTCTGTTAATAGAAATTGCAGAATGTGCGTAGGCCTCTTTTGTCATAAGCTATAAAATAAATAATGTAGCTAAAATAATCAAAATACCGATACTATTATATAGGGCCTATACCAAAACGTGGACCTACATGACCCATTTTAATACCAAATGTCCATAACATACATTTGAGTAAAATGTTTTCAATCTACTTCAATTCGTTCGGAAGCTAAAGCGATATCCACAGATGGACAGACGGACGGACATAGAATTTTTTGCCGATCAAGAATGTGGGGTCTAAAATGTATATTTCGAGGTGTTACAGACGGAATGACAAACTTAATATACCCTCCATACTATGGTGGAGGTTATAAAAATTATGGCGTTTGGCTTTGTTGCAGTTATTTTATCTCACCCTGTTTTCACAGTATTTTGTAAGCCTTGGAAGCTCATCGACAATTTTCTACAGAATAGTTTAGCAGGAGTTCTACAAATCACTTCTTACTTTGGCATATTCCTCAATTCTGTGTGTTCATCTTTCTACAGATGTAGGGAATACCATTTACGACTTGGCCAACCCAACTTAATTGTTACCTGCTCGCTCAAAATTGAGTGATAACACCCCTCTCTTGACAATTTGTCTCTCTCACTCACAACCGAAATAACAACGCAGAAATAAAAACCAATTACTTTAAATAGATAAAGTAAAGTAAAATATGTGCGGATAGGAATGTCGGTAACAAAGAGGCAAGATAACGCCTAGGAGGTCTCAACACTGGCGGTTATTTTCTGATAACCCATTCATTACTGAACACACCTTTATGGAATTAAGTTCAAAGTTATTTTAATTTTTTTTTAATAAATATTATTGCATACTTCGTTTAATAAAAAAGTGAGTAAATACATTTAAAAATGTAAAAGAACAACAACTAATTCTAATCGCATACACACAAAGTGTTTCAAAGAATAAAACTGATTAGAATTCAAAATCAGAAAGAATTTGAATTCTGGCAAGTGTCCATATGACCAGCTTTAAAGTAATAAACCTCACAACAGACCGCTCAGTGAGAGACAATACACACACAATGTAGTTGGAATTTCCAGAGAACCTGTGAATAGGCTGCCAGTTTTTGGTAAACTAAGATTTAAAGCTCAATGCATTTGGAATCCGCATAATTGAGTTTTAGTATAAATCCATGAAACGTTGTCTTGTACATCACACAGTCACTTGACGACTGTTGAAGACAATCGGACAACAACCATAGATAAGCGCAGACTGGGACGGACTCCCATGGAATGAGACCAACTGAATAAAAATAAATTAAAAAAGTAATATTAATAATATTTACTATCACCCATTGATAAGGCGATAAACATAATAGTAGGAAAAATAAAAAATTAACCGGCAAAAGAAAGTGATTCGACGAGCAACAACAAAAACACTACACAAAGTAAACATAAACAAAAATGGCTTCATTACTCATTCGAACAGGTGAAGTACCCAACCAACCAACCCTCATTAATAACCATATTTTTTATTTAAATTAGTTTTTGAAGTGCTTACGGCGGATCAACTGGCATTCTGATAAAAATAACATGTGAATTTACTTAATGGAATACACAATTATAGATAATCGAAATTGAAAAAAAAAACGTTTAAAAAAAAAAATAAAAAATTATGAAGGTTCCATTATTGAGGAAGTGGCAGCGTGTGTGACAAAATTATTAACAAGACCAGCTATATTTCGGATTTAATTAAGAACTTCTACACAAAAAAAATCGTGATCACAGTTTTCGGATTTTTAATCATTAAATGTGGAATTGTTAAAAACCTATTTATAAACAAATATTTTTCATAGGCCTACGAAATCTTAAAGAGCCCAGGGGCTGGATTCTGGTTCTATGAAAATATGAAATGAGAGAGGGTATAGTCATTTGATACGGCCAAAATGTACCTCATCGAAACAACGGTTTTAGACCCTAGGTCTCGTTGGACCAAATCCGTTTCAGGACATTTGAAGTCATGTCCGTCCGTCCGTCTGTCTGTTTGATTACCGGCTGGTGGGCACGATAACTCTCGAAGTGAGTATCCGATTTGGTCCAAACATGGTAAATCGTAATATTATTGTCAAGCTTAGATCGAAATCAGGCATGGGCAATATCGGTTTAATCCCTCTGGTGAGTTGCTCTGCGGTATTATCGCACATTCGCGGCAAAGCGCTTGCTTGTGGTGATGGACACTTCGGTATTTTTTAGTGCCAACGTTGCTTTGCAAGATACTCCAGACACAATAGTCCAACGGATTGGTATCCGGAGATTTGCACGCAGAGAAAAAATATAGTTGAACATTTTCACTGCAATCACTAAATATTTGCTACCATGGTGGCCATTGTGGGCTGGAAATGAAGCGAGGAACCTCATTTTGTAACCATTCTTGGTGGCACGTGCTGAGTGCGATGGCGCTGAGTCCGGTTGGAATGTCCAAGGTCTGCGGCAAAAAGGTTTGGGTGCACAAGGCTTTAATACACCCTCCAGAACATTTTCGCGATAATATTCAGCATTTATTCTGATGCCACAGTCGAGCGGAGAGCGACCATCGGCTGTTATGGCGGCCCACATCATCACCAGAGCGGAGAGCGACCATAACAGCCGACCCACATTACATAACAGACGACCCACATCATCACCATGGCCGGCGCTTGAGTTCTGGTGGCCAAGCGAAGGTGCACATTTTGGCAAGTAAACACGATAATTTTGTTTGTTTACAAACTGCTGGACAACGAATGTTTTCTCATCAGAGACGAAGAAAACCAAACCGAGCTCATTTTTCAATATTTACCGAATGGAATATTGCGATTTGTTCAGCTCACGAACCATTTTTCGGCCACTGCGACGCGGGTTTCGATCAAGTCTCTTTCAAACCATTTCTTACAAAGTTTTGTAGTTTTGCAATATAATAAAGTTAGTATACTCTCCTTTTCAAGTTGGAGGCTTAACACATTTTATAGAAAATTTTTCGAAATTCTAAAGAAAATTTTTCGTGGGCCTCGGAGGCCTACAAAATTTTATAGAAAATTTTTCTTGGGCCTCGGAGGCCTACAAAATTTTATAGAAAATTTTTCTTGGGCCTCGGAGGCCTACAAAATTTTATAGGAAATTTTTTTTGGGCCTCGGAGGCCTACAAAATTTTATAGAAAATTTTTCGTGGGCCTCGGAGGCCTACAAAATTTTATAGACAATTTTTCGTGGGCCTCGAAAGGCCTATAAAATTTTATAGAAAATTTTTCATGGGCCTCGGAGGCCTACAAAATTTTATAGAAAATTTTTCATGGGCCTCGGAGGCCTACAAAATTTTATAGAAAATTTTTCATGGGCCTCGGAGGCCTACAAAATTTTATAGACAATTTTTCGTGGACCTCGGAGGACTACAAAATTTAATAAATTTTTTACTTAATAAGAATCCCTAAATTTCAAAAACAAAATAATTGTGTTTCTCTTTTACAGCCCTCTTTGCAGTTCTTCTAAGCTGCACATTGCACTCAACTACTGCTGGAACTATAGCACCCTCAGAAATGGCAACACGTAATCTATTTGCAGCAAATCTCTTTTCATTTGTGGCACCCGAACATCTCGGCGAGAATGTGGTCTATTCACCTGCTTCAATACAAACTTGTCTGGCCTTAGGCTTTACTGGTGCCGACGGTAAAACGGCTCAGGAAATGCGCAAAGTTTTATATCTTGGCGAAGGAGACAAACGCCAAGTGGCCAAAAATTATGGCGACTTTCTTAAGGTAGCCTTCAAAAACACCAAGGACAATGGTCCCATTCTTAAGATGGCCAATCGTTTGTATGCCAATCAAAATCTACAAATCGCCGAAGAATATAATAAAATCGCCACCGAATATTTGGATGCCCAAGCGGAAAATGTTAATTTCCAAAATTCCCAAGAAGCCATTCAAAAAATCAACAACTGGGTGGAGGAACAAACTGAGAATAAAATTAAAAATCTTATGCAACCGGGTTCAGTGGATGGTACAACCAGTGCCGTTTTGGTGAATGCCATTTATTTCAAGGCCAAATGGTTGAAACCCTTCAGTCTGTCATCGACCAGGAAGGGCACATTCAAGTTGAGTACCAAGCAGGATGTTCAGGTCGACATGATGTATCAGGATGAAAAGTTCCAATATGGTGAATTCCCCAAATACGATGCCAAAGTCTTGGAAATGCCCTATGAAAACTCGGATCTATCAATGATGCTTATTTTACCCAATGAAGTTGAGGGTCTGGCAAAATTGGAAGAGAAATTGAAAGGCGTCGATCTGAATGAAATTTCCTCGCAGTTGAAAACACATGATGTAGATGTATTTCTACCGAAATTCCGCATTGAATTCGATATTGATTTGAAGGAACCCTTGATGAAGGTAAAATGACACATTGTTGTTGTAAATTCAAAAGTTGTTAATTGTTGTTGGTTTCCTTCTTATTTTAAGATGGGTCTGAACACAATGTTCTCGGATGCGGCTAATTTCAATAAATTATTTGTTAATGCACCTGCATCACAAAAAGTCTCGGATGTTAAACACAAAGCCTTCTTAGATGTCAACGAAGCCGGTTCAGAGGCAGCAGCTGCTTCATGTAAGTTAATTGCAAAAATTCCCTGACAACGTAATTTTAATATTTTCTTTTTTGTTGCATTATCTTTTAGATATGAAAATTGTACTGATGAGCCTGAACTTAAATCAAAAGTCCTTCAATGCAGATCATCCCTTCGTATTTGCCATACGCAGCAAGACAGCGGTGTATTTTGCCGGTCATGTTTCAAAGTTTTGAGAAAGTTGATTTTGCCAGTTATATACACATTGGAAATTTTTTATATTTGGATATATTGTAAATGGAAAAGTTAAATATAAAATTGTAATTAAGAAATACAATTTGCATTTGCCGTTCATTTAATTTCAAAATCATTTACTAGAATTATTCAAATTAATTTATTGAAAGGGTTACAAAGTTCTTCATTGCATCTGGAAATTTCAAATTATTGATTTGAATATTATAACCAAAAGTAAATTTAAATAAAATCTTAATTATTTAATATTTTTAATTAAGTATATTAAAAAATAAGTATATTAAAAAATTAGTCGAACCTGAATAATTTTTTAATATACTTAATACATAAATTGAGTTCATGAAGAATGCAACCTATTTTGTAAAATATGTCCAAGGGATTTTATGACAATAACAAATTATATGAAGAATATGGCAACGCTTCCAATTGAGAGTTGAATTTATTGCTCTCATTTGAAAGAGTCAAATATTGGAGAGATAATGTGCTCTTCGCTCAATGCCACAGATGGGAACTTTTAATTACAATAAAATAATCGGCCCTATTATGGTTGTCGTCGGCGTCGCAAAATGAAGTCGAGGCGACAATAATGATATTAGAGTTGGCGTTTTTTGTCGATAGCGACAAATGATTGCTATTATAATTGTCGATACAACAGTCGACGTGAAGGCGATTTTTAAGAAAATCTGTCGCCGTAAAAAATTGTGACGACATTGTATTTTTTAGTCGACTTTGATATTGTAACTTTTTTGTATTTGACCATGAAAATAACAAAAGCAAAACAATTTGAAATGTTGGTTTCCGAATTGAAAAAAAAAAAACATGTTTGGCAAAAAGGGTATACCAAAAGTCAGTTTCCAACTAAATCAGATTGGAATCCATTTCTACCAAATTAAATGTAAACGGGGGGTCACCGATTAGAGAATCCGATGGCTGATAAAAAGTATGTTAAAATTAAAATATTTTTCTATTATTTTATTATTTAGTTTTCTAAAGTTCTTCTAGGTAAAGATTAAAATTTAAAACTAAAAAACAATTTTGCACAGTAAGGGTGAAGCCAGCAGAACTGGACGTGGTCGCTTTGGGTTGAATTCTTCGCGAATGTAATACAGTTTCAAAAGTTACTGAATCCACCAGGTCGTGCACTTGGAGTAAAAAATACGGAAAACATAGTTGTAACAGACGTTATAGATCATGAAAATTAGCCAGTGGACAATGCTGATGACGAGACTGATATAACTACTATCCAAGCTTCTCGATCGCCCAGAAAAAAAAAAACATGATTAAAAGTCATCAAGAAAAAAGAAACTACTGAACTCTTGAAAGTGAAGTATAAACTTTTGGAACAGGACAATCAAGAGTCAGGCAATGCAAATATGTTTGTTTTCTGCCTTAACACTCGCCGCTGCACTACTAATACATTCTTCTCATCATCCTCACTTGAACTTAAGAAATGTAACGCATTTATAACCTTCATTTTTTCACTATATTTTTTATTTTTCCAAAAGAGCCGAAATTAGAATTCAAAATACAAAAAAAAAAAAATCTTATTTTGTCAATAACAAGGGAGTGTTGCCAACGTTTTTTTTAATTGTTGCCAACTTTTATTTTAAACTGTCGATGTCGCTTCCATGCCTTACCGTAATACCATTTTTGAATCAAAGCGACGGTGAGGGCGACTTGCACATAAAGTCGACAACGACTATAGAAACGACAACCGTAATTGGGCGGAATATTTTCGAGCCAGAATTTTATAAAGCAGTAAGGAAAGGTCAAAAGTCGGGCGGGGCCGACTATATGATACCCTATACCACTATGCGTATTTAGTAGAGCTCCTGTAACAAAAAAACGTTTATATTCGACCCAATTACGGTTGTCGTTTCTAAAGTCGTCGTCGACTTTAGGTGCAAGTCGCCCTCACCGTCGCTTTGATTCAAAAATGGTATTACGGTAAGGCATGGAAGCGACATCGACAGTTTAAAATAAAAGTTGGATTTTGCTAAACATTCAATGTCGTCAAAATTATTTACGGCGACAGATTTTCTTAAAAGTCGACTTCACGTCGACTGTTGTATCGACAATTATAATAGCAATCATTTGTCGCTATCGACAGAAAACAACAACCCCTATAACATTATTGTCGCCTCGACTTCATTTTCCGACGCCGACGACAACTATAATAGGGCCGAATGTCGTCGCAACTTTTTATGGAGACAGATTTTCTTAAAAATCGACTTCACGTCGACTGTTGTGTCGACAATTATAACAGCAATCATTTGTCGCTACCGACAAAAAACGACAACCCTAATATAATTATATTCGCCTCGACCTTATTTTGCAACGCCGACGACAACCATAATAGAGCCGATTGAGAATTTATGTAAAGTAGATCATGCCCACTATGAACCTTATTTGAATGGCTTTAGAGTAGTCAGAATTTGAGAACTATATCCAACTCTGAGTCAATTTCCAACAAATTTGACGGAGGCAAGTACAGTACAAAGTCCATTTAGGCCGATATCAGTCATTTGGTGCTCAATAAACCTAAACCGGATAAAGATATCTATGAACGGATCTTGACAAAATTTTATAGAGTTACTTAAAACCCCAAATCGGATAAATTAGCTATAGCTGAACCGATTGTCACCAAATTTGGAGTACTTGTTTCTAGTATGAATTTAGTCGGAATTGCCAAAATTCAGGCCATTTGGACTGATATTGGTGCACAATTAACCCGAAATCGGTTAAATATATAAAGGAGCTATATCTAAATTTAAATCGATTCTCACCAATTAGGTTTCGTCTTTGGGCCAAACAAATATTGTTTGAAAATTTTCATCTCAATCGGACAATAAATACGACCTGCATTTTATTTACAAAAGTACATGGACAGACGGACGGACTGACATGCATAAATCGATTCAGAAAGTGATTAGTCTGTAACTATGCCTCTATCTCGCTTCTTTCCCCATGTCACAAACAAATACACAAAGACATAACAATAGGACGCAAAAAATGTATAGTAACTCGTCAATTGAGAACGGCTGGGCCGAGTTGACTCAAATTTTTTGGGCTGTTTCTAATTGCAGTGATAAGTTTTTTATGAAAAAATTTTTTGAGACAAATCTCCTGACAAGTCGGGACAAATCGACAAAATTCCTGATATGGAATTTTGTGTGGAATGGCTGTTCAAATGAAAAAATAAAATTATTAGTAGCAAACTTAAGAACGCCCGGAAAACCCTAAATTTTGCATGATTTGATTTTGGTCAATGTAGGAGAAAGAAACCATTATAGGCTGTGACTACCAAATTTTATTCCAATACATTAGAAGCTGAGAAATGATGAAAATGCCGATTCTGCCAATGTTCCGTTATATAAGAAATATAATCTATTATGATCTCCAAGTACCGAATTTACAGTTATTCCGATTAAAACTGTGATTGCGTAAAGTATTTTGTGGCACCTAAAAATTATAACGATTTTTATACCCTCCACCACACATACAATGGAGGGTATAAAGTATACATATTCTTGATCAGCGCAAAATTCTGTAGATGATTTAGCCCTGTTAGTCTGTTGTAATCACGCAAGAGTCAAAACGAATTAAGATAGGATGCTAACATTTTCCAGATTAGTCTTTGGTCTGCAGCGAGGTCAAGTTCGAAGATGGGCTATATCGGTAATATATAACACATATAACACCCATTTTAGCTACATTTATCAATAAAATTATCTTAAAACCCACACCAGGAGTTCCTTCTGAGTACTTTATCCTTTGGAAGAGAATTGACTATATATTGTCTAGGTCCACTATATTGTATATCCCCCATGTACCTGTTTTTTTTATTTTTTGTAATTACTTTCTAACTTATAAAGAACAAATAATTTTTTTCGCATTTTATTTAGCTAACAGTTTATTGTATTAAGTTTGGAAATCTTAAGAAAATAATTGAAAAATATGATATTTTGGAACAACTCTAGTTTAGTAAAAACTCTTTGATTTTTTGGAAATTTTTTCCAGAGGTAGGTATTTTTACCCTGATCCCGGGAAACTATTTTTTTCTTGGGGGACGGACCCGGGACCCCACATTTTTGACCCAAAAGTCCGGGATCAAGACCCCGCCTGGACCCGGATCCACTTACCCGATATAGACAATATGGGTATTGATTGAAAGCTTATGGAAATACCTATCCAACAAGTGGTCACATAAAGGGGTAAGTTGTCATGGTTCGGAAGTTATAGTCAAAGTATCGATTTTTTGGACCCGGATTTTTTATAAAACCCCCAAAAAGTCAAAAAAGGGCCCATTATGGGGGTCAACAAAATTGCTTCCAAATTATAGCTGACACTCTTACCTTTCCAAAATGCTACAATTTGTGCTAATACCTTTTTCGGTTCCAGAGATATGGGTCTTTCCATCCGCATAACCCGATTCTAACCAGTTCATTAAAATTATGTTTTTAATAAAAAAAAAGTGTTTATTTCGCGTAGCAGTCGTCGGAATAACAAAAGTTTTCTAAATTTGGAACTTTTTGTAAATAGCCGGCCTTCGGCCGGGGCTTGAGATTTTCACCTATGGGTATGTCCGACCCCGGCTAACGCGAACAAAAGGTTCATAATTTCGGCACTCTTTGTAAATAGCCGGCCTTCGGCCGGGGCTTGAGATTTTCTCCTCTGGGTATGTCCTACACCGGCTAACGCGAACCAAAGTTTTCTAAATTGGATACCTTTTGTAAGTAGCCGGCCTTCGGCCGGGGCTTGAGATTTTCTCCTCTGGGTATGTCCTAAACCGGCTAACGCGAACCAAAGTTTTCTAAATTTGACACTTTTTGTATATAGCCGGCCTTCGGCCGGAGCTTGAGATTTTCTCCTCTGGGTATGTCTCACACCGGCTAACGCGAACCAAAGTTTTCTAAATTTGACACTTTTTGTAAATAGCCGGCCTTCGGCCGGGGCTTGAGATTTTCTCCTCTGGGTATGTCCCACACCGGCTAACGCGAACCAAAGTTTTCTAAATTGGATACCTTTTGTAAGTAGCCGGCCTTCGGCCGGGGCTTGAGATTTTCTCCTCTGGGTATGTCCTACACCGGCTAACGCGAACCAAAGATTTCTGAATTTCATTCTTACGCAAAATATACCTTTTTTATTGAAAACATAGTTTTAATGAACTGGTTAGAATCGGGTTATGCGGATGGAAAGACCCATATCTCTGGACTCAGTAAAGGTATTAGCACAAATTGAACCTTTTTGGAAAGGTAGAAGTGTCAGCTATAATTTGGCATCAATTTTGTTGTCCCCCATAATGGACCCTTTTTTGACTTTTTGGGGGTTTTATAAAAAATCCGGGTCCAAAAAATCGATAATTTGACTATAACTTCCGAACCGTAAGATCTTACCCCATCATGTGACCACTTGTTGGATAGGAATTTTCATAAGCTTTCCAACGATACCCATATTGTCTATATCGGATAAGTGGATCCGGGTCTAGTAGGGGTCTCGAACCCGGACTTTCGGGTCAAAAATCTGGGGTCCCAGGTCCGTCCCCCAAGAAAAAAATAGTTTCCCGGGATCATGGTTAAAATACTTACCACTGAAAAAATTTTCGAAAAAATTGAAGAGTTTTTACTAAACTAGAGTTAAGCCGATATTTTTTATGTGTAAAGTAATATGTGACATACTGTATGTATACGTCATTTATGTGAATGACACATTTAGTCACCTTATCTGGAGCGTTTTATGTATGCATATTGAAGTTCTAGTAATTTCTGCGCCAAGTTTTCCTTAACACCTTTGCTCCGATATGTTTTTCTAATTTATTTTTTAATACAAATTATACGCTATCACAACATCCATCTCTGGATAGTATAATATGCCGGTCTTTATTTATAAACACAAACATTGACAGCACTAAAATGATGATTCGCTGTTGTTATTGTTGGAATAGAAATTGAAACAATTCTCCAAAAAACAGGTTCCCTTTAATACTCTCCTTTTTGTTACTAGGTAAAGCAAAAGAGCGACAATAACAACAATTCGAAATAAGAATCACTTTCTCAATGGGATGATATCATTGTTTGGTTTTCACGAAATTCTTCAACAATTTGGCTCTATAATTAAATATTTTTCCATTAATTTATTATCGAACTCACTCACCAGTTGGTAGAATATTTTTGAGGGGGGTTTTAATTTTATTGGTATTTTTAAAAGCCACAGCTGATTTCATTCGGCGTATTACCGTCTTCAGACAAATAAAAAAATGTTGAACTAAAATTTTAAGGCACAACACAAACCCCAAGAGTTTCACAACACAACTGAATCATACTGGGCGATATGGTGTTTTTTGTTTTCGTTGTTTTATGTTCATTTTGGATACGAAGCTCTTGTAGAATAATGCCTCCATTAGCCGTTTCTCTCTTGTTCTTTGTTTTGTTGTTCCCCACATTTTGTGTTTCTCCACTCAATGATTCCCTCATTGTTTTTGTGTGTTTGTTTGCTCTCTATCTATTTTGGCGTCGTGAGAGCATATGGGAGAGTTATTAAAAACTGTGTTGACAATGTGCGTTGTAGAAAAAACGCGATTGTATTAAACCGACTTACTATAAGCCAACGTGTTTAAGATATGGTATTAGGTCCGTGTAAACTCATTTCAAATATTAATAACCAGATTTTCTTGTTCCCATCTCTCAGTTGTGAATATACAATGGGTTTATGTACATACATTTTGACAATGTGATCATGTAAAAGGTATAATTATAAAACATCATAATTATAAAATTTCCCAGGGTTACATATTTAACCTTAACAGGGGTTTTTGCTGAAGAAAAATAATTTTCATTTAATTTAAGATTTGAGTATTACCGTGGTACAATAAAATCAATGTAGTGCATTGCCACCAATCGATTTTCATGTCTTTTTATTCGCTTGACTTAACATGCCAAATTAATTTGCTATGTTTGTGTTTTTCAATACTGACATTATTATCCATACAGGTAGGCCACTTAAAAACAATTAAACTTTGAAACGAAATGGGTTAAAATTGTTATACCCTACAAAACATAGTGGTAAGGGTATTCTGTCTTTGTGCATGGAGAAAGAAACGAGATAGACCCATAGTTACTTTGAGGATCTTCATAGAACCACTTTCTAAGTCGATTCAAGCATGCCAGTCCCTCCGTCAATGTATTCTTGTGAACAAGGTTGCATTTATTATCCGATTGAGATGAAATTTTGCTAACGATATTTGTTTGGCCCAAAGAACGAACCCTGTTAAAATTGGTGACAATCGGATCAGATTTAGTTATAGCTCCCATATATCTTCAACCGATTTCGGGTTAATTGTGCACCAAATGGCCAATATAAGTCCAAATCACCTGAATTTTGACACATCCAACCGAATTAAGTCTAACAGCAAGTACATTAAATTTGTTGAAAATCAGTTCAGATATAGCTTTAGATCCCATATACAGGGTCAGATGAAAAGTTGCAACTAACTTCAAACTGCTGTCATTTCTAAGCGACACGTCCGACAGATGTTGAAATTATTCCAGTGACAGCTCATTATATTGTTTACAAGAGTACAAAAGCATTTTGATGAGAATTTTCCAGAAAAAAGAGATATTCGTGATGGAATTCAAGCGTGATAGTGTGATTTCTTTATATTTAGCTGGTAAACCACAAGTAGCTATCGTTAGAGCACTCCAGCCATTAAATGTGAATAAATCTATTTTGTCTTGTACCATCGCTCCTTACCGTGATACTGGTAGCGTAGCCCGCCGTCAAGGAAGTGGACGAAAGAAAAAAACAACATCAGCAGAAATGGTTCGAAAAATAAAGAAGCGACTTGATCGAAACCCGAGTGGCATTGGTCGAAAAATGGCTCGTGAGCTGAGCATATCGCTATATTCCATTCGGCAAACATTCAAAAATGAGTTCGGGGCAAAGTCATTGAAAGGAAAGTGCAAGAACTTATACCGCCACAGAAAAAAAGGCTCAAAAGAGCTAAAGAGTTACCTCGCTTGGCCGAAAGTGGTAAACTGCCGAATTTGGTTTTCTCCGATGAGAAAACTTTCGTTGTCCAGCAGTTTGTAAACAAACAAAATGATCGTGTTTACTTGCAAAAGAGGTCAGCTGAAAATATGCACTTTCGGTTGACCACCAGAACTCAAGCGCCGGCCATGGTGTGGGCCGTGTGGTCACTCCCCGCTCGTATTAATCGACCGTGTCATCAGAATAAATGCCGAATATTATCGCGAAAACATTCTGGAGGGTGTATTAAAGCCATTGGACATTCCAACAGGACTTAGCACCATCGCCCTCAGCACACGCCACCCAAGAATGATTACAAAATGAGGTTCCTCGCTTCATTTCCAGCGCACAATGGCCACCAAAATATCCGGATACCAATCCGTTGGATTATTGTGTCTAAAATATTTTGGAAAGCAAGGTTGGCGCTAAAAATACCAACGTGTCGATTACCTCATGCAAGCGCTTCGCCGGGAATGGACCAAAATACCGCAGAGCAACATTCAGGCAGCGTGTGACGTTTTCATTGGCCGTTTAAAGACCATAATTCGTGCCAAAGGTGACCAATTCGAACAAATCGGAACTTTTTCTTAAATTTGATGCTATTTCAGACATGTTTTGCTTTCAATCAATAAAATTAAAAAAAAAATGTAAAAATTATGGCGTTTGACTTTGTTGCAGTTTTTTTTTTATCTCACCCTGTATATGTTTCATCCGATTTGGTGTTTAAGTCCCTCACATTCGTAATATACAATGATATTTGGTATAAGATATTTTATAGAGCTCGGAAATACCTTTGCCAAATTTTATCGATATCGGCTAGAATTTGAATATAGCTTCCATGTATATCCTTAAGATGATTTCAAGCCCAATGTTGTTAGGTGTTATGATCTACTTCAAAAAAATTATTTTGTTACGGGAGCTCTAGTAAATATGCATAGTGTTGAAGGATATCATATAGTCGGCCCCCGCCCGAATTTTGAGTTTTCCTTACTGTTTTTTAATTAGGTACACAATTTATATATAACTAGAGAAAATTATGTTTTACGTTTTTTGCTGCTATTTTCGACACGTTTCCATTCGGAGTCAAAATTGTTTCCTATAATTACTTTTGTATGGCACAGTGCACTTTGGGACGTAATTACTTTTTTGAATTATATCTCCTTGAACTGGCTCACATTCACTTCTTATAGAAATAAAGGGGTCAATAACTACAGTCATTCGCTATAAATGCCTACGGAACACAATGAAAAGCTGCAGTAGCCAAAAACCCAAAATTGAATTGCCAAATATGTCGAACGCACAGAAAAGTATTGCTTTAGCATTTTCGCTTGCAGTGATATTAATCGGAAAGAATGTGTATGGCAATGATTTGGGTCAATTCAAGAAAATTAGTTTTACGGTAGCACACGCTGGGAGTTCGCAAGCAACTAACGAGGCGTATCAGGAAGGAAGCTATGACAATAACGACATCAATACGGGTACTGAAGATCATGTAAAATTCTATGGCAATACTGATCATGATAAGGGACAAGAGCACCATAGCCAAGAGAAGGATGATGTTGATGATGCAAAGTATGCTTATAAATATGGTGTGAAAGATTCAACGACTGGTGACATGAAAGATCATTGGGAAATTCGAGATGGTGACCGCGTTAAGGGTAAGTTAAATGTTCATATTCATTTATGGATAGATTATAATGACTATATTTTTTTAGGAGTCTATGCCTTTAAAGATGCCGATGGCACCAAACGTGTGGTAGAATACACTTCGGACAACAAGAAAGGCTTTGAGGCAACAGTCCACATAATTGGACGTGGTCATTGACCACGAAAGTTTGCTAGATATGAGCAATGTGTGGTTCAACTAAATTATGAGTAAATAAAACAATAATTCTTTTTAAAAAAAAAATCTAAATCCCCGTTATGATATCCCATGCAGTTTATTTTACAGAACCACTTAAAGAGAGACGATATGAAGACGATTTTTATGTTGTAATCATGCTATCTTACGAACTAAAATTATGCAGACATGTGCATTTTGCCAGTAGGCAGATTAAGTTCGTAGATGAGCCATGTCGGTCCATATTTTCATACAGCCCCCATATAAAGATACCTCCCGACATTCGGTACTTTGATGATTTTAGCGACATTATTCACCAGAATGGTTTCAAACTTCGTATTGGAAGTTCGTAATGGATACTACAACCTAAGATAGAAATTTTTCTATGCAGATCCCCGACTTCGTATAGCCCCCATGTAACGGTGCCTCCCTTTATTCGGTATTTTGATGATATTAGAGACATTATTTCCCGGATTTGTTTTAAATTTTATATTTGAAGTTCGGAATCGAAACAAAAGTCTATAGCCCCCATATAAAGTTTTTCATTTAAACTGTATTTTTCTACGATTTTTAAACCCTCCACCATTCTATGGAGCGAATATTAACATTCCGTTTGTAACTTCTCGAAATAGAACAGTGTTGGCGTGTTTGTTCGGAATACCATAGTATTTTGTTGTTGCAAAATGGTCAGGCTTAAATTCCACTATTGATGCTTTTATAAAAACAACATTAGTTTATTAGTGGAGAACGATGGAAATGTTTACCAGGGGGTAAGGCAGGGAATGACTAGGTTTCGGAAAGAGCCACCAATTATCATCAGTTCCCTTGTTTTTGTTTGGGATATTCTCTCCAGAAGTTATTTAAAAAATAACTTCTATGATAAAAAGAAGTAAGCACAGGCTATAGTCGGACGGGACTGACCATGTGATATCCTACAACACTACAATATGTTAGAAACCGCCTTATGTCCATTCCATCCATTTTGGAAGATTTCGCTCTTAGCATTTTGACCAGGGACATTTGCCCAATATTTACACACTCCGTCGAGCTGTTAGTTGTTGTGCAAAAATGCTAGAATTCTTCCCTGTCCTTATCGATCTTCCCAGGCATGTCGAATGCCTTTAATTGTGTATCAGGAATTTTTTTTCTGTTTTTGGGTCATTTGAACCATCTCCAAAAGTAAGAGGCTCCTCTAAATCTCCAAATTTAGACTCATCTATATGATTTTCTTGTCTACGATATTTGGCTATCGTCGGAAATCGCCTGTGGTGGTAGTGGTCCATTCTACCCAGATTCCCACACTCTATCTTCATGCGAGATTTTGTATCCTTTGGTTTCTATTTGTGTTATAACGGCTGCAAAATCAGGAACATTTTTTTTTTTTTTTTTGGTCAATTTCAACCCCTAAATATGTTGCGGACATCTTTGAAAACAATAGGAGTAGCCATTCTAACCCTAACCCTACCTTTTTCGTGAGGATCGGACGATAATTGCAATATGTATACAATATCCCCAACCTGTGTTGTAAAGTGCAAAAATATTACAAAATATACACTTCAATATTATAAGTCAAATTGAAAAAATCGCATGCGATAAAAAATATGAAAAAATAAAAAAATGTCATAAAATACTACAAAATCTATACAAACATCATTAATGGCATTTTTCTATGCGATTTTTTTAGATTTTATACTTTTATGCCAAAAGGGCATTCTAAATTTAAAAAATTTGTCAAAATCGCTAATGCCATTCTGGAGATATAAGCATTCTAGCTAACATGCCCTTCCTTTGTACATATACATTGTATATATTTCGCCATATATATCCTATATTTTTCCTATCGACATCTACGTAACGGTCAGAATTGACCTATTCGTCTAATTGTGATTTCGCCGGGATTAAAAATATTAGCGGTTTAATGGAAAATTTGACTTATATTTATTTCAACCACTAAATATTACCCGATGACCATCAAAATTGGAAGGCTTCTGTCCAGCCCAAAGCTCTAGCCCCATGCTAACTTTCGCTTCGCTTGGTCTATAACTGTGACCTGTAGAGCAACTGCAAAATCAGGAAGTTTTCCAGTTTTTGGTCCATTTCAACCCCTTAATATTATGCGATCATCTCCAAAAGAAATAGGGTTCTATTCTGACCTTAACCCCACCTACATTTTAAATTTCGTGAAGATCGGACCATAATTTCGACCTGTAGAGTGATTACAAATTAACATGGACAGACGGAGGGGCGGACATACATAGCTAGATCGACTCAGCTTGGCGAGAGAGGAAGATCCATATATACTTTCCTATGTGGGAAACCAATATTTCGAGGTGTTACATAATTGTTGGCCCAATCAAACTTATAATACCCCCAACACATAGTGTTGTAGGGTATAAAAACTGGTAAACGAAACCATCCTTCTCCACTAATAAACAAAACAAACAATAATGGGATTAAAAAACTCCTCGAAATATTTATAACAGAACCTACAATATATATATATATATATATATATATATATATATATATATATATATATATATATATATATATATATATATATATATATATATATATATATATATATATATATATATATATATATATATATATATATATATATATATATATATTCTGGATCAGCGTAACATTCTAAGACAATCTAGCGATTTCCGTCTTTTTGTCTGTCTGTTGTAATCACGCTATCATTCGAACGAATAGAGATAGAAGGCTAAAACTACAACCTATGACAAATATTATTTAGGTTCACGTTTTCGTATATCACCCATATAACGGTACTTTCCGATATTCGGTATTTTGATGATTTTAGCAACATTATTCACCGGAATTGTTTCAAATTTGGTATTTGAAGTTCGTAAGCAGGTCTACGTCTTTGTATACAGGGTGAGAAGAAAAAACTGCAACCAACTTCAGACTGTTGTCATTTCTAAGCCACTCGTCCGACAGCTGTTAACATTATTTCAGTGACAGCTCATTATATTGTTTACAAGCGTACTGGAGCATTTGAGAAATCTCCAGAAAAAAGATTATTCGTGATGGAATTCAAGCGTGATAGTGTGATTTCCTTATATTTCGCTGGAAAACCACAAGTCGCTGTCGTTAGAGCACTCCAGCATTTAAATGTGAATAAATCTTTTGTGCCCCGTACCATCGCTTGTTACCGTGATACTGTTAGCACAGCCTGACGTCAAGGAAGTGGAAGGAAGAAAACAGCAACATCAGCCGAAATGGTTCGAAAAGTAAAGAAGCGATCTGACCGGAACCCGCGTCGCAGTGGCCGAAAAATGGCTCGTGAACTGAACATATCGCAATATTCCATTCGTTAAATATTAAAAAATGGGATCGGTGTAAAGCCATTAAAAATCAAAAAAGTGCAAGAACTTACACCGCAACAGAAAGAAAAAAAAAACTCAAAAGAGCTAAAGAGTTGCTTCGCTTGGCCGGTGTCAAAACATTTGTTGTCCAGCAGTTTGTAAACAAACAAAATGATCGTGTTTACTTGCCAAAGAGGTCAGCACAATGTGCACCAGAATTTAAGCGTCTGCCATGGTAATGGTGTGGGCCGCAATAACAGCCGATGGTCTCTCTCCGCTTCGTCTTAATCGACCGAAAATATTCTGGAGGGTATATTAAAACCTTGGGCATGCAAACTTTCTGAAAAAAAAGGTATCTGGACTCAAACGTGCTCCACTTAAACAACAAATATCAGTGAGATTGGTTGGAGAATGCAGTAAAGTTTTTTTTTTAATATTTTAAACAAATCCGCTCAAAAAATGTGGTCTAATCGTAAAAATACAGTTAATTTGGAGGTAAAGTTATGTGGGGCTATACGAAACGTGGATCGATATAATATAATAATACCAGCCATCCTAGATACAATAAATATTATTGTGCCGAATTTTAAAGCTCTACCGCAAATAATGTGGACTGCATCGTGATTTTAACAGACAGACAACGTTTTATTAGGAATGTCCAAAACTTCAAAATTCCTTCTCTATCCCAACTCCCAACGGTACATTTTATGGCATTTTGTACTTTTCGTACGTTTATAGTACGACTTTCTAAAATAACCTCCTCCTCTTAACTGCAGACGCCAACAGTGACATCCATAACAAATTTCAGGTTTTCAGCTCTATTTCTTCAGCCGATATCAAATTTAGTTCAATTTTCTGCTCTTCTTACAATAATAGTACACATTACCAAAATCACCTCCATATCTCAGTTCCAGATACCAACAGAGCGACCTCAATATAAAATTTGAGGATTTCATCTCGATCCCTTCACCCAAAACAAAATACAGTACCGTTCAGTACTTTTTGTACAATTATAGTACGGACATCCGAAGCCACCTCCATATGTCCAGGCTGCACATGGAGAGTGGCCCCAATACCTGATTTCATATTTCAAGCACTATCTGTTCCCCCAATACCAAATTGTACCAAATATACTATTGTTTAGTACTTTTCGTGTACTTTAAGTACATATTTTCAAAATCATATTTTTATAATAAACCTATCGCCAACAGAGATCCCAATACAGAATTTTACAATTTCAGCTTCCAAATCCTACACCAAACAGTTCCAAATAAAGTACCCTTTAGTGCAGCATACTAAAGCATACTAAGTACACATTTCCAAAACCACTATCATATATCAAACTTAATTTCCAAACTTGATTCTCATTCCAAATTTCAAGGTTTTAGCTCTATCCGTCTACATTATGCCAAATGATTCCAGCTAAAAGTTTAGTACAATTTTAGAACTTTTCGTAAGTTCGAAGTTCCAAAACCCATTAGGTACATCAATCCTGCACCCTACCAATGACTCCCATTCCAAATTTACGAATTATAGCTCATTCTGTTTGTCCCACACAAAGTATACAATTTTTAGTACTTTTTGTACCTTTTTAATATGATTTTAAAAAAATCCAGCTTTGTCAGACCCCTACGCAACCAAGACTGACCCTCGTACAAAATTTCAAGATTCTAGCTTTATGCGTTTTGT